TATATATATATATATATAATTTAACTGATTTTTTTAAAGAGACCAAAAATAATTTGCAATGTTAAAATTAATATCAGAGATAGCAAGTTCGATACACATTCTACGTCGGTACATACGACGCGTATCCTATCATATAACATACGATGTTTTTGGAATGCGTATTTGGCCAGTGATGGATTAAGCATTTTGCCACCCCTAAGCACCAATACCTAGCCGCCCCCAAGTGACTTCATTAATTTATAAATTTGATAAAAGGAAAAATGGATTTAAAAAAATGATTTATTCCCCGCATTAGCTGGTAAAAACATTCAATAATCCTTAATAATATAAATATAATACATTTTTAACTGTATATTTAAAAAAATATCGTTTTTAATAAAATATGCTCGGTGTAACTCGTATAAAAACGTTACATTAATAAATTATAAATTTATCTCAACTGTATAAAAATTTTCTATCTTAAAAAATTTGCCACCCCCTCAAATTTACCGCCCTAGACAAGTGCCTTGCTTGCCTATGCGTTAATCCGTCACTGTAGCCGGCAGTAAACCAGACACAATCTTAATGTCGTCTATCGTAATCTCTTTCTACAACCTTTCTGCTCATGTGCACAATTCTTCCTAATTCCATCTAGTAAAGTCTGGTCAAAGTTAATTGAACAATTATATAGTGTTTATGACATGAAAATTAATATATATCTATGTGACTCATACTCATTATATAAAATTTATTTGTGTTGTCTTACAATGGTTACAGTGTATTATGTATATTAATGTTAAACGTCATTTTCTTCAAGTACAATAAGAATCTTTTCAAATAAATATTTTTTTATTTTGATTTATTTGATTAATTAAAAATACGTAACTTTTACGACTGCAATAAATCGAACAGATCTAGCAGACATAAAAATTTGTTAACAATTATCATCAAATTTATTATTATACATCATGATTCATGATTATTAAAATAATATGTATATACGTATATTACATAATATGTAATAACGTATATTATACATATATATATATATAATTATATAAAATTAATTATAACAAAATCAATTCTCAGAGACTTTTAAGACACTAATTATATAAACTCGAATAAATTTTTTGAGAGAAACTATACAAAAAGTAAAAAGTAAAATTATATGTCTATCTTTCTCAGGCACTTCGAGATGTATATTTCAGTGCTTCTAATTTAATTTCAGTGATGCTAATTTTAATTCTAAAAATTGAAAATAACTTTTAAACATTTTTTTTTCACCCTCATTACATTGATCTACCCTAAAAAAAATTGCACGTGAATCTCTTTCTTTTTTATAAAGCAGGGGAAATGCATTATGCATATCCCGGATCCGTAGAAACGGGTATCTGAGGTTATGTGGGACTCGCACCCACTAAAACCCCTGCCGGTGTCCTTCACTGGCTCTTAGATAGGGAGGCATCAGGCACGCGTGCAGCATTCTTCCGGTACCTCCCCGAGCCTGCCGCCCGCACCTCACCCCAGGAGTCTCTGTTGAAATATCATGGATGGTATTTCCAACATATGATGTTTCACTATATATCTGTATTGTTCACTAAACTTAAACAAGAATAAAATAATACATCACGCGCATTATACACTGAGCACGTGCAGTATGTTGTTGTCTACATTACGATCGCCATAATTTTCATTGCAAATAGAGGACGAAAATAAAAAAAAAACACCTTGAAAAACGCAGCCTTGCATTATTTTCCGACACTTATGTATGATCGTTTTCAAACAATATGGAGAATTGTAGAGTGGTAAAGAAGCACGTGAATCTCTTCACGAGAAAAATAATTTGCTCGTGAACTTTCAAAGAATCAATGCCAAAGGAAGTGCAAAGACTCACGCAGAGCATACAAAAGCTTCATCATTTCATTCTAAACTTCATTGGACTTCTTCTACATCAATTTTCCAGGCTCATAGAAATATAAGATAACTCAGAGAATAAAGATATAAAAAGTAATTGCTTTCTTATCCAAAATTTAGTGATTATATCACCGCTGTTAAACGAAAATACGGTTAAATTCTTTATAAAAAAATTAAAAGAAAATGAAGAAGTCATAAATTAGATTGTCTCAAAAAATTTTTTTTTAACTTTGTATGCATTTATTAATACATCTCTAACGAAATTATAGACTGTCTTTTCATATATAACTATCTTTCCAATTTTTTTCTTAAATTATCATACATTTATTTTTGAAATATCTAATCAGTCAATCATGACCAGACATCACAACCAGATAACGCTTCATCCAAGTAATCAAAAACATAAAATTACTAGAGATTAAAAGAAGTGACCGAATTCGTTATATGTATATCAATTGTATGCAGACAGAATAGTAAGGGCCAAAATAAGAACTTTGTGATGATATTTTATGTATGTATGTACACTCAATTAGGGCCAAAATAAAAAACAGAAAAACATATATATTTTACCAAGCGTTTGTAATAAATTTCTTTGGCAGAAACGACGACTTTAATGCAAAATCCGTTAATTGACTTTATATTTGCAAAAATGAAATAAAACGATTG